AACTATAGTCACCCTACTGTTATCAAACGTCTAATATATTCCTTCTATCTGGCTGCATGTTCGCACCCTTTAACCACTTCGCGCCATCCTCCCCTACTCCCACACCCACCCTTTCCAGTCTCTGCTCTCTATCTTTCCACTGGTAATCTCTATGTGATCAGACTTTGTAGTGAGAATATGTGATGTTCTTTTTTCACCAGCTTATTCCACTAAATGGCCTCCAGTTTCATCCAAGTTGATGAAAATAACAGGTTTCATCCATCCTTTATTAATTGGGAAACACTGCTTGCAAATCACTACACTCCACCCTATTCTTCAAGACAAACTTCAGCTAAGCTCAGACAAAGAGCAACACAGGGAAGGAAACTATTGCTAGTGAAACAGCCACGAAGTACTACCCCATGATCTCTGTCATCTGAATGCTCACAACTTTTGAAGGCAGGTATTATTATTATTGTTATTGCCAATTGTTATACACGAGGTAGCCAGCACCCAAAGACATGAAATAACTTGCCTGGAATCACAATGAGTAGGTGACAGGGCAAGAATTTGAGGCTGAGCCTCTTGTCTGCACCAGGTCAGCACCCTGAAAGGTAATCACAGGCTGTGGCACACAGAGACTCCTAAGGCACCAGCCTCCTGTATCTTTCTTACCCAGGACCCCGGCTGCCTGAGACCACAGAGCAAGAGGGAAAGCCTGCTTCTTCCAGTGCAATCAGAATACAAATCCAGCACATTTTCAAATTCTACACTGCATGGTAAAAATATTTTAATGACTTTAGCCCGACAGTATTTCAAGGACTGCCCTTCCTCTGCAGAAATCCTAGATGCTGAACTTCCAAATGCCTCCCTCAAGAGAAAATAATTCTCTAGCTCTTGTTTCTTCCAAAGCTCCATTTCTTTTGGGAGAAAAGAAAATCAATCTCTTTCATCAAAAGAATATATTTAACCAATATCCTTTGCCTTTTTCAGGATTCCTTTTGCTTAGGTTTCCTCCCACTCAAAAGCCAGGGAACATACTCTTGCCAAGGCAACATCCTAACCATTACTTCTCCTCCTGTGGGGCAGGAGAAAGCTCCATCCATCAGACCCTGCCTGGGAGAGCTAAGACAGTGATCTTTCACCCAATGAAAGGACAATCCAGCAGCTCCTACAATAGTGTTTGAATCTGGATGGAGAGAAGACAGCAAACGAGGACTCCAAAATTATAGCATGAGGCTTTTATTCCAGAGTCCCTCTCAGAGACATGGATGTCCATTTGGGTAGACATGGTGGTCATCAGAGAACAGTCAGAAGACTCAGACCCCTTGGGAGTGGGAAAAGCAAAGAAAGACAGTAAGCCCGGCAAGACCTCGTATCTCAGCCTAGAATGTTTTATTTTCACTAAGGCTTATGAACAGATTTAGAAATACCATTTGCAGCTCTTCTCCTTCAAGGTGGGGACAAAAATGCCAATTTTATAAATAAAGAAACTGAAACCAATAAGTAGGTGACCAGCTGAGGGATTCTTGGAAATTTCTTTGGGAAACTGGGGGGGGGGAAAAACCTACATTGGTCTCCACATGATTTGCTCTGAAGTCAGAAACTTGGATGGGCCTCTCAGAACTGCCCCCTAAGCTTCAGTTTACTCACCTGTAAAATAGATCTACTGATAACACCTACTTCATAAGGATATTATTAGGATTAAATGAGATGACCTTGGTAAAAGGGTATAGCACTCAGGGTCCCACCTGGAGACAGAGGGCACAGAGCAATAAAAGTTTATTACAAAGAACTGTGAATGGGAAATTCGCTACTAAAAGGGAATTTTAAAAGGGCTCTAAAGAATATCCTAGATCTGAGAGAGAGAACCCAAGAAACAAACTTGGAAGGGAGATCCCACCTCCTAGGCTGGGATTCAGACCTCCTTGGAGAGGGCATGACAGAACAGCACATGGATGGCAGGGAAGCTTTCGGCCAGAGTGGGTCAGCAGGCAGCAGGGCAGCAAAGCACAAGAGGGAAACTACCCCTCCTGCTGAAATGCCACCGGTCAGGGAATCACACCTTTGCACTTGCAAGCTGGGATGAGCATCATTGGGTATCAGTGCATTGCTGGCCACTGCAGGCCTCAGGAGCAAGCCAAAAGTAGCACACCAGAACAAGGGAGAAGATCCCCTAGGGATCTGGCACAGAGGCCTTGTTATCATCATACATCTCCTGTAGAGCCATATTGCCAGAGTACGTGGGCAGTGGCGATGGAACATGAGTGAAACTGCTATCTACCTAAACTGAATTGGGCTTATCTTCCAAACTTAAAGATGGGCACATCTGGTTTCGGAAATGGCACTGAGTACTACTGGAAAACTGTGACCATTTTCACCTGGTGACCTCCTCTTCTATATGCCGGGATCTATGAGGCTCGCTCTCTGCTAAGCTGTACACTCAGGGAAAGCCTCCACAACCATTTGAGTCACTAGTTGTTCTTTCACAGAACCCACCCAAACCCAAAGCTGTAAGTAATGTTGCTTTTAATCATAGACATGGGAAAGCACTGGCAAAAAAAAAAAAAAAAAAAAGATCAGGTAAAATGAAATCTACTTCTGACTCCCATCTTCCCACCCAAGAGTTTCTTGTAGCCACTGTAGATAACACAGGAAGAAGAGGAGAGGTAACTTTGCATCATCATTCCTGAACACAAGGCAATAGACATCGACTCGCCTTGCAACTAGGGGGATTTGAATCAGACCTAAAGAAAAATGTCCATAATTGGGTGAGGATCATATTGGGTTTGGTAACATCTGCAAAAAGCTGCAAAGCCTTCTCTTTAAAAGATGCTTTCTGATGGCTCCAGCCTCATCCAGCTTGTGAGTGGGGGTTTGGCTGGGATAACTGCTTGAGATACTTTCCTGCTGCCAGCTCCTATAAGGAGGTAACTGTACGTGCCATAGCACAGGATAAAATAGAAAGAGGGACTGGTGGAGGGAAGAGCTCTGAGGGCCTCCTATATCCCTTCCCAGCGTGTGCCAAGGACAGTCCCTGCAGCAGCCCCCAGGGGTCCCTAGCAGGAAGCTGTTTCAGGCCACACAGGAGACAGCAATAACCCACTATTACTGGGTAAACAGTACAGGACAAAATAACTGAGAAATGATGACATTCTGAAATAAAGCAGCAGTTCTTGTGTCCAGAAATTTCTCTTTGAGGAAGAAAACAAGGGGCCTCCTACTTGGCTGTGTGATTGGCAAGGGAGAGAGCATATTTCAGCTCAGTATGTATAGCTGTGCTCCAGGCTGGGTTGGGCTGAAGCAGTTTTTCCAGCTACATTTTTGAGGAGATTCCAATTTCTTCTGAATGAACATTTTCCAAATATCCTGCCTGAAAACTGTCCCTCACCAATTTAGGACACGCTTTCCTTTCTCAAGGTAATGCCACCAGCGAGCTGCCAGACCCGTGGTACCCAGCTAGCCTGGAAGAACCTGTCTGAAAGCTTCGGTGGAGCTTTTCAGAATCACAAGGCTCTAGAAAAAGGTGGCGTGCATTTCCCAGAGCTTGTACCTTGTACTTAAAAGTGAACATACTGAACCCAACTAGCTTATTTTCCAAATGAGGCATCCAGGGCTTGATGTGGTAATGAACTTGTCCGGGAACACACAGTCACTAACAGTAAGCAGTGAATCTGACATTTCTATCTCCTTTACCTCACCCTGGGCCTTCCCCCAACCCCATCCTCCAGATACCTTAATAAACTACTCAGAGATGAGTATCCAGATAATCTTGGTTTTTTTGCATGTCTGCCCCAAGTCCAACCAGTCATGGAAAATGACTTCAGTTTGATAGGACACAGCAGGAGCAGTGTCTAGTGTTTTGGCTACATTTAGGGCAAGGGCTAGAGTTTGGACTAGGATGGAAGTTGGGAGAATAGTCAAAAAATAAAGTAGCAACCTCCCTAAATGTATCTGTTTCCATTTTCACCTGATCTGTCCTAGGTCCTTGGATATTAATAGTATGAACAAAATTAGCAGATAGAGACAAAATGACAAGTTTTAGGAGGAAGAATATATAGATTGATTATTCTGCAATCTCATGGTACTAAAGCCAGTGTGTATCTGTTATCAATTACTGTGTAACAAACTACCCCCAACATCCTTAAAATGCAACCATTTTATTGCATAAATGTCTTGAAGGTTAGGAATTTGGGCAACGCTTAACAGGAAGGTTCATCTGTGCTGCACATGGTGTTGGCCAAGGCAGCTCAGCTGGGGCTGGAGTATCTAAGGAGGTCTCACTGGCATGCCTGGGCCTTGCTGCTGGCTGTCAGCTGGAGTGTCTCTCTCTCCACATGACCTCCCTCTCCAGTAGGATTGCCTGGACTTCTGTACATGATGGTTGGGATCCAAGAGGGAAAGTGGAGGATGCAAGCCCTCTAAGGTCTGGACACAGAAGCCCCAGAATCTCACTTCTATCACATTCTATTGGACACAGCAAGTCCCAAGGCCAGCTGGAATCAATGAGTGGTGAGAGAGGCTCTACCACTTAACAGGAGAGCAGCAAAGTTATGTGGCAGGGGTTATGGACACAGGAAGGCAGGGCTTTGGAGCGGACCCATTTTTATCATTGTCTTCATAATGCTTGTCACAGGGAAGGACAGTCTCATAGAGAGAGAAAAGGGACTCAGTGCAGGTGATGACATCGGAGTCTCCTCTCTGCCCTTTGTTATCAGTGTGACCTCAGTTAAGTCACCTCCTGAGCTCCCTATAATATAGCAACTTTCTTCTCCTATAATACAGGGATATAAAGGCTTAGCTGGAAAGAATAAGATACATGAAATAAAATCACATTGAAAATTGTGGGCTCTAGTGCAATTCTAAAAATATACATATCTATATATTATATAGATATAACATTTTCTTATATATTAATATAAATATGTAAGATTATTATAAATACATATATATTATAGATACATAGAGATATGTATCTATATATTAACACTGTATTACCTTATTTCTACCTTTCCTAACAAGCATTTAAGGCAAATGATGGGTGGCTGGCTGGCAGAGGGGTATTTACAGTCCTGAAAAGAGCTTTCCTGTCCCCCGAGCTCAGGATGCAAACCTAGTTTCACACTTTCTAACACGAGGAATCCCTCACCTTCCCTGACTTTCAGTGTCTTCATCAGTAAGATTACAATTTTTATGAAAATTAGGGTTTTTGTAACTTGGATTTTTATAAAGACTGCCCCAAAATTCCCCGCACAATAATTACTAGTATTTTAATCACATTATTCAAACATTTAGATTGTGACCAAAGGAAATCTGAAACTCACAACTTGAACAGTCAAAATTCCAAGAAAAGTATGCTTTATCTCTGCCAGAGTAGCTTTTTAGACATAGATTTTATAACTGAAACAAAACCAAAACAGAACCTTTTCAAGTTAGGAGCCTCCCTTCTTAAAAAAAAAAAAAGCAAAAGCCCTATTACTGAAGTTGGGTTTTGTGACTGGGAGCGTGAGAAGTTCCATTTCAAGCCATAGAGTAGACATCTACATTTGGCCTCAGGCTGCAGGGCCACCACTGTGGCCAGGGAGTGTCTTCTTTGGGCCCACAGGTTGGGCAGGGACACAGACACCATGCTTTATCTAACTTATCCCACCCCAAGAGCTGGTCTTCCTGCCAATGCCCAACCCCACTCACAGGGACTCATGTCTAGGTAATTAAGGCCAAGTCTGGCGTTCAGGAAAGACAAAATGGAGAGTTCTGCTCCCATCACACTGCAAATGCTTGACCTGGGTGTAGCTATTCTGCTATGCTTTAGTGCAGTTTGCTGGTATTCAGAGAGGCTGAAGCATCTTCCCAGTTCACACTGTGCTCAAATTCCACCCCTCCTCCAAGCCCTGTTCTCTCTTGCCACTACTTGGACCTGGCCTCAGGGCTCATGACCAGCACTGAAGGCGGCTGGACTTGGCTGCTCATACAAATTGGTGTGGACGGCCCTGAGGACTGGGGTCCTGGGAAAGGGAAAGAGGGCAAGGAGATGACTAATGAAAAAGAAGGGCTCCTGACACGCTTGGCTTCCTGCAACCAAGCAGAGCCTAATCCTGAACGGAACTGAGGGGTGGGCTCTTGAGACAAAGCAGGCCCCAGATGAAGGCGGTTTTCCTAATCTATACTTGAGGATTCTTTAAAAAACTCAGTTTGAACTTGAGCAGTGGAAAGCCAGAAACCGTCACAAGTTCTGAAAAGAGCAAAAGGAGTAACTGATACTTTCATTTAAGCTATGATGACGGGTTAATTTTATCCACCTTGGCTGTAAAATCACCTGGGGAGTTTTAATTTCATGCCCAATCAGTTTCATTGGTCTGGAGTGTTAAGTACTGCAGGTGATTCTAATAGACATCAGGATTTCATGCTCTGAGTTACAGGGAGAGAGCCTAGAGCCATGATTCTTAATTCTCAGCACGCCTTAGAGTCACGTGCAGGTGCTGGTTGAAGCACAGATCACTGGGCCCTACCCTCCAAATTTCTGATTCAGTAGATCTATGGTAGGGTCGAGAATCTGCATTCCTGACAGGTTCCAGGTGATGCTGATTGCTGCTGATCACAAACCACACCAGAGCCAGAAAGCATCCTGATGCTGCCAGGTGGAGGCTTTGAGTTCTGGCCGGGGGTTATAACAGTGCTAATGGGGGCAGCAAGAAACATCTGAGGCATTTTAGAGGCAGGACACATGGCTCTCCAGATATTGGTTTGTAGGGTTAGTCAGCAGTGGCAGGTAGTGTGAGAATAGGCTTGATGATGTGGCTTTGCACATCATCTGCACAGAGACAGAACACTTGGAAGATTGTGCATGTCTCTGTTTTGATTTTAAACAGCCAGAGGTCAGATTCCTCTGCCTTGCATTCCAAACTACTATTGAGTAGAATTCTTAATATAAATCAGTTCCACCCAAATGGTGAACTCGATTTACAATGCTTTAGGAACACTTGCCACCCTTTTCTAAAAACACATTCTGAGTTTTTCCAGATCTGGAAGAAACTTTCCTCTCACAAACTTTCATCCTATGTTGTTCAGCCAGCTTAAGTGTCTCTTGCTAGCATCCAAATTCAAAAAAAGGAGACTGTAGGGTATCATCACTGAAAGAAACATAAGGTCAGCATCAAGTTAGTGCAGAAATTGTGGAGAATTCCAGTGAAATCATAGTAGGAGAATCTGGCTCACTTCGTCACAAGTATATGGTTCTTGCTGAGATAAGCTGTGACCGTAGAATTCCTATTTGGGAAAAAGAATATTCCTTTGAGGCAATTTAGCTATTCCTTCCTCAAAGAAAGTCTAAACTAAATAACCACTCTCAAGAAGGTAACATAAATAAGATAGTAACCACATTAGCTTCATCCAGTACAGGGCCCTTTCAAGTCCAATCTAGTTAACACATGTTTAAGGCAAGAAACATTTTTCAAGAAAAAAAAAAATGAGTCATGATGATTTACCAAGATAGAGTGTTATTCAGCCTGCCATTTGGGCCATGCAGTGACACCAGACAGGTGACAGAGGGGTGGGGAAAGACAGCCCTGGAGCCTACCTCGCAAAAAATCCACACGGGTAAGAAGCTGTATCAGTCCGTCCTCACACTGCTATAAAGAACTGCCCGAGACTGGGTAATTTATAAGGGAAAGAGGTTTAACTGACTCACAGTTCCACGTGGCTGGGGAGTCCTCGCGATACTTACAATCATGGCGAAGGAGAAGCAAAACACCTTCTTCCTTAGGCAGCAGGAGTGAGTAAAGGAAGCCCGGGAAATGCCAGACACTTACAAAACCTTGAGATCCCGCAAGAACTCCCTCATTATCACGAGAACAGCACGGGGGAAACTGCCCCTGTGATACAATCACTTCCCTCCCTCAACAGGTGGAGATTATAACTGGAGATGAGGTTTGAGTGGGAACACAGAGCCAAGCCTTTTCAGAGGGAAATGGGGCACATTCTCCAGGCTGGCCTACTCGGCTTCTTTCAAACATACTGGCAACAAGCTGAGAAAGCTCTGAGCCTAGAGGGTTACGGATTTTCTCTCATCGTCAACATCCTTGGTTTGCGGAGGAATCCAACTGGCAAGCAAGCGTGGCTCCCCAAAAGAGCCAGGTTTGAGACGCTCTGTGTGCCCATTAATTCATTCATTCATTAGTTCATTCTACAGATATCTCTTGACTGCCCACTACATGCCAGGCCCTGTGTAAGCAGGGGTGTGACAGAGACAAGTTACATGTCAGTGGTTCTTGTCCTCAGGGAAGTCAGAGTCCAGAGGCCAGAAGAGAGGACTGATTATTTGGCGGGCCTGCAATAAAAGCAGATCATCTGCATTAACAGCTGAAAAACAGCCACTAGGTTTGTCAAAATGGAAGTTTAAAAATAAATACATAAAAAGTTGTCCCCTCAGTCTGGCCGGCAGTCATCAACCTATTGTCAGCAGGCAAGAATGAAGAAAAATAAGCTAATTTTGCTTTTTTATTGCCAAAATTAAATATAAGTGGGAAAGAAAATTGCCACAAAGCATTCTAAAAATCTTGCATTCAAAAAAGTAGTCTGTAATTAATTAGGCCACAGTCCCCCTAGAAGTTGATTGTACTAAATAACAAAACATGTCTCTCATGCTCTCAACTCAGAAAAGTAGGCCTCGTGCAGTAGAAGACTCTGAGCTCAGGGAAGTGGGCAGAGAACTTCAAGCAATTAATAATTGCTAATATTTCCTGGGGGTTTACTATTTGCCTAGTACTACTCTAAGCAGTATTCTACATATTAGTTCATTAATCTTCACAACTGCTATATAAAATGGTACTGCTACCAGCCTCGTTTTACAGATGAAGGAGCAGGCTCAAATAGGCTAGGTAACATGCTGATGGTCACACAGCCAGTTCATGGCAGAGCTATGGATTGAGCTGAGTCTGTGCAAAGGGCCCAGCTTTCCCTGTAGCTCCCAAGGGGGACGTCTGTGCTTTTCGGCAGCATAAAAAAAGAGTGATGTAGCAGGAATTTTAGACTGGAAAACCTGAGCTTGGATCCTGATTCTGCTACTCAGTGGCATGTGATTTTTGGTAAGTTATTTAACTTCTCAAGTCACAGTGTCATTTGTCAAAAAGTCACTTTTAAGATTGTTGTGAGGATTACATGGGATGGAAATGAAATCCACATAGAATTCCTTGCCTAGAAAAAAGCAGTTTTGCCTATAATGTTCATTCCATACCTGTGAGTTTCAATTATAGTTCATCCAGTAAGTCACATGTTATCCAGAGATGCTTCGAAGCTGTGACAATTCACATGTGAGAAGGTCTGATTCATCTGTATCCCATGGCAAAAGCCAGTTTCCTAATTTTCTACACCTTCTGACCAACTCAGAACGATTTGCTTTAAAATACCAGAAAGTACAGTCATTAATTTAACCAACAAGATCAGCAGCTTATATCACTACCATTGTGGAGAAATTTCAGGAGCTCTGGATTGTATAAGATGACTGAACCCTCTTATTAGCAACAGAAGTCTCATCCTAGTCCAGACAATGACCAAATACCATGAAGGTGAAAAGGTGTTCACAATGAAGTGATATTGTATGCATATGTATATTTGCAGTAGAAAAGCAGATTCGCATTTTTCTTGAACTCCCAGCCTCAGGTGATCCACCCGCCTTGGCCTCCAAAGTGCTTGGATTGGATTCCCATTTTCACAGAACTTTAGGACTGGGAACAACTACATAGAAGTCCTAAAGATCACCTAATGCAAATACCCTCCTCATGCTTGCAATGGTTAGATGAAACGTGGGTTGAGGATCCTCCACTTTAATATTCTATGATTCTTTAATAAAGCATATTGATTTCTTGTAAACATTTTCAGTGCTCATTTCTATACCCTGCTCTATGCTTGGTGCTCAGTCAATATCAAACTGATGAATTCTGAGGCTTTCCAAACAGACTATAGGTAATTAACTTGGGTTCTACACAGTTCAAAGTATTAAGACTCCAAAATAATACTCTCAATTAATGCCTACCTTTTACTGGAAAGAAGGTATACAATTTTCATGACTTCCCCATGGGGTCTGCAAACAGAGCCAAAAAATATGTATATTAAAAACCAGGTTCCTGTAGACTGACCAAACCGTGCCAGTGTGAGCCCCCTTTTTTAGAACCAGCATATGATGTGTATGTGGAAAATAAAATAAGCTTTGATATATTTGCAAATAAGAAACTTCACCTGCCTAGTGCAGAAAAATTTGCAGCTTGCTACTTATTGGGAACACAAATGAGCAATAATATGAAATACATACCAATATGAAATACAGGGTTCTGCTACATATCTCTTGGCTTTTGCACGTCTAACATGAATATTAATAGCTCATTCTTTATGATTGCTCTTCCATTTATTCAGAGCACACTATTTTATGTCTAATTATAGGGATACTAAATATCAGAAAAACAGTATAATAAAGAGACAACAGATTTTGTGTCAAACACATCTGGGATCAAATTTGAATTTACAACTTATTACCTAGATGCCTTGGACAAGTCATTTAGCATTTCTGAGCTTCGGCATCCTCACCTTTAAAGTACAGGTATTAATGCCACCACAGAGGGTTTCTCTGAGGACAAATGGAATAATGTACAGAACATACCTAAAACATTGCCAGGATATAGTAGACACTCCATAAATACTTGTTGAAGTGAAGCTAGGAAAGAATGTTCTTATCTTATTGAAAACCACTAAAAGCAGATTAAGAACTACAAAGATGATTCAGCAACAGCTACAAAGATATTTTTGTCTTGAAGTCTGAGGGGAAGGATTTTTGACAGATACCACAGTCTAGTGGGTGATACAGACATCTATTCATTCATTCAAAAGTATTCACTGAGTGTCACTATATGTCAGGGATATGATAAAGAATAGGTAAACATTAATGACTATATAGATAAATGTAAGAATGAAACTGACAAGTGCTCAAACAAAAGATTCCTGACACAAGAGTAAGTCATACGAAGGAGTCACAGGAACATGGAGATAGGGACACTTGCCCTGAGATCTGAATGATGAGTGAGTGGATTCCAGTTACAAAAGTGGGAAGGAAGAGAATTCCAGGCTGGTGATTTCAGTCATGACAGAGAGGAGAGAGACAGGACAATGGCTAGAGATGAGCAGTCAAGTTACAGTGTTATCATTATTGTTATTGGAAGTTTTGAATGAAATACCAAAGCAACAGATAGAACATTCCAAACAGAAGGCAAATGATCAAAGGAGGTGTTCTTAAACCAGTTGCATAACCTTTTTATAATACTTCACCATCATGAGACTATAAGCAGGTCAGGGGTTATTGGAGATGAGGTGTTTTGGAGAGAGCTGTTGGTATGCTGTGCAGCCTACCCCACTCCATGGAAGATTTCCTTTCTGTAAGTTTGTTCATCACCTCTAACCTAGAGAAAGGAGTTTCCCAAAGCAACTTGGAAAGCTTCATCTGAGTTCCCCCCGTGTTCAGGGAACAGTGAGGACTGGGGTCTGACCCAGCTAGGTGGTCGCCCAGAGGCTCAGATGGGACAGCAAATGTATGGCTGCTGCTGCAGTGAGGTCAGGCTTTTCTCAAGAGAAGATCCCCAGACAGAGTCCAGACCAGTATAAGGCTCCAATATTGAGCCACCTCCCTCAGAAGGAAGCTGAAGAAAGAGACTGAGCCCCCTCTGATTACAAAAACCTTACTAGTTACTGTAGCCTCAAGTGACCTTCCATTCTGCCCTTCCCACCAGAACCAGAAAAGAACAAAAAAAGATAGCATTTCATCAATACCGTCTAAAGCCACTTGGAACATTCGGGAGGTTCAAACTGCAGCACAACAGTTACCCGTGGGCAAAAAGACAGGACTATGACGGTATGGAGAGAGACGTTAGAGATATTTAAGGTCCTAGTGTTGGCCTTTTTTTTTTCTTTTTGGTAATATTGTGGTGGTTGTTTTTGTTTGTTTGTTGAACAGCTGCCAGGAAAAGGAGTTTTGTTTATTCGGTTTATTTGTACACAGGATAAAGTCAAAGGGAATTATAATGGCGGGAGACAGGAAATGCTACACAGCAGGGAAAACCCAAAAGTTACCCATGCTTTTGTGACTTGAACTTGCATACCACCTATGTCATTGGGAAATTATGTCTGCATCTCAAGAACAGCTCATGCGTGATCTCCTTAACATCATTCTGATGACGTAGCATTAATTTAGCATTTACCATGTGCCAATCATTGCATGAGGCCTTGGTATATGGTTTCTTAAAAATTGTTGTTAGGGAAAGAAGGACAACTCTTCTCTCTCCTGCCTTTCTTCTCAGCACCATTTTTGTTTGCTGCCACACTTGTGACATTTGGAACTCACAGAGGTCCTGCCTTCAAAGAAAAGCTCCCCTGCCTCCTCTGAAGAGGAGGCCATTCTCACGCAGGGCTCACCTGCGCAGCTGCGGGACCAAGAGCTCCCTGAGTCCACAAAGCAGACCTGCCTTTGCAGCCACTCCTGTTGGGGCTGTGGGTTAATTGCTGCACCGTGTTATGGTGCATATTTTAAGGCGTATTTTTATATATGCAGTGTCAGGTTTTATACACAGATTACCATAATTTGTATTACATCCCTGATTCAAGGAAGGTGTCTGTTAAACTTGTTAGTAAAAATAGAAAGAAGTGTTTTTTAAAAGTGTAGTGGTTGTTGTCATTGTGAAGTACCAGTATTCAAAGGCCAGATTTATGTGGTTTCATAGTTCATGCTCTGAAACACAAGACCATTCAGGTTCCAGAGCCATATTCCTGAACAGTTTACACACTGGGTTAAAATTTATGAGCAAGATTCCCCGCACTCAACTGCCCTTCATTCACACCCTCACACACACACACACACACACACACACACAACACAACACTCCACACCACTGACCCTGATCTTTCTCCCTGCCCAGGGAGACAATTCAATGCACTCATCACATTGCTCAGAGCCCAGCCTGGCTGTAACGGTGGGTGGCTTCCTTCTGCCCTCTGACATCTCCTGTCTCTTTCACAGACTCTCTCCCTTTGTCCAGTCCATGAGTGTGTTTGGTTCTTGGAATTCCATCTCTGGCCCAGTCTTCTTCCTACCCTACATGCTTTCCTCCCTATGAATAGCTTCCACCCACACACAACCCTTTGCTCACAGCACCCCCATCTGTGACTCCAGGCAAGATCTCTCTCCTGACCGCAGGTTCTGTATCTACAGCTGTTTTCTTTCCTGTGGCCACCTTGGCTTATCCACTGGCTTGTGAGGTCCTCAAAGGTGAGAACCACACCTCACTCACCTTCATGCACCCTTCATTTCATATATTTTTAAATATAATATATAAACATGTAAATGAATGAATATGTGTGTTCAATTACTGTCTGTTTCATGCATAACAAATTAAGGTAAAAAGAGAAAGAGAAGGAAAACTTTAAAAGGAGAAGCCATCTGTAGCTTTGTCTTCTTACCTAGGACAGAATGTGCTAGAGAATAGCCCAAGAAACAGTGGGTTCCACAAGCCAGAGCAGGTGTGCTAGACAGTGGCATGGGCAGGGACACTTGACAAATGCTAGATCTAAAAAAAAAAATAAGCAGGACAGTTTGATCCTCTAATATACATTACTACAGTTCAAATATTCAAAATATATATATAATCAGGCATCACTTAATGACAGGGATACCTTCTGAGAAATGTGTCATTAGGTGATTTTGTCCTGTGTGAACATCAGAGTGTACTTACACAAACCTAGATGATAGAGCCCGCTACACTCCTAGGCTAGACGGTGTAGCCTATAGCTCCTAGACTGCAAACCTCCACAGCATGTTACTATACTAAATACTGTAGGCAACTGTAGCACAATGGTAAGCATTTGTGTAACTAAGCATATCTAAATGTAGAGAAAGTACAGTAAAAATAAGATATCATAATCTTATGGGTCCACTGTTATACATACAGCCCATCATCGATGAAAATATAGTTATGGGCCAAGCGCGGTGGCTCAAGCCTGTAATCCCAGCACTTTGGGAGGCCAAGGCAGGTGGATCATGAGGTCAGGAGTTTGAGACCAGCCTGGCCAACATGGCAAAACCCCGTCTCTACTACAGATACAAAAAATTAGCCAGGCATGGTGGTGCCCACCAATAATCTCAGCTACTCGGGAGGCTAAGGCAGGAGAATTGCTTGAACCTGGGAAGCAGAGGTTTCAGTGAGCCGATATCACACCATTGCACTCCAGCCTAGATGACAGAGAGAGATTCCATCTCAAAAATAAAAAAGAAAAGAAAAGAAAACATAGTTATGAGACCTCTGACTATATTTTACATTTTTCAGCACTTGTTAAATGTATTTGCATACATTTCCATTTGGGTTTTGCTTAGTACACATTAATTATTCTGCAGACTGAGATTCTACAGTTAACTAATTGGGAGAAACAGGCCCTAGAATGTAGAATTCTTGATTAGTCACTACTCATCAGAAAATAATTTTTAAAACAACAACAGTACAAACCCTTCAAAATTGACACAATTGTATTTGGAGCTTTCAATCTTTTCTAAGAACAATTCAGTGGATCTGTGCAGACACCAAAGAGACTGGGGCTTGGCCTCCCAGGAGCCACACCCCAGAGGGCGAGGGATCTGGACCTGCCCACACTTCAGGTGGCTCAGGTTTCTAGCCATCAGGCTACCCCTGGCAACTCACTTGCTATGATGAATACCACTTTCTTCGTGCAGCCACAAGTCAATGACATTTTGGTCATGAAACCCACACGCACTGGCTCTTAACTCCAGCACCTCTCTGGGGTCTGGGGGTGGAGGGCAACTTCTCAGGCTACAGCAGCTGCAGGAAGCGCTGGGTGACATCACCTCCCCCTAAGCCAAGAAGGTCAGGCCCAGAGCAGCCATCTTTGGACAGAAAACACACAAATAATCCACCACTTTCCACCCCGGAGAATGAGCTCACAACTGCGGGGGTCCCAGCTCTATATGCATGCCAGGTGATGTCAGGGTGAGTGTCCTGGCACTCTGACACTCTGCAGGTGCTTCATTCATGGACACCCCACAGTTCACACCAGATGGCAGCGTGGGAGAGGGACATCAGCCCTAGACCTTCCCTCACTTCAAGTTATAAGGCCTTTGGGGGACTGACTCGCCCATTTTCTTGGACTGTGTTATATGAATGTTGGGCCAATCATAATGGGATAGATACTGGGATAGGGTGGGGATGGAGACGGGCTTCTCTAGAGGTTTCTCTACAAATAAAATTCCTGGCAATAAGCTCTCGCTTCTATCAACTGCTATTCTCTGGGTCATGGAAAATCCTGCATTGTTGGTCACACAGGGGGATGGAGTGGAAAAGTTGAAAGAGAACTGACTGGCTCTCGGCAAGGTGAACAGAGGTGTGATAGAACAGGAGAGACGCCCACACAGCAAGCTGGATAACCCGACACCTAACCTGGGCTTCCCTATTCCGGACTTTGCTTTGTCCAAAGCCAAGTGGCAAAGAGTTTAAAAGTACCCTGTATTGTGATTCCACGAAAAATGAGCGATTTTGTTGTTCAAGTGCTGATACACTTGGCCTGACTCTACCCTGCTTTCTCATCACAATAGAAATGGGCATGAAGATAAGTAGTGTGTTTCTTTGAACCCCTCAAAAGAAAAGGTTCTAGTTTGACAACCACATTTAAATTGCCTATAATTTCCTCATTGGAATCTTTTGAAGGCCAAGGCCTTTCTGTGTCAGGAGGTGCCTGACAGATGATGTGTCAGGGACACTCACTTTCTAGATTACCCTGGAAAAATGTACCCTTAAAAGGAAGAAGTCCCTCTAAGCATTGACTCCAGCATTTAATCTAATGCCAGAAGCTGACTGAGGTGGCTGTTTAAGGAAGGAAAGGAGATGAGGAAGACAGGGGGGAGGGAAAGCAGGAGAAATGGAAAGAGGAAATGGAGAAATGGTATGGGAAAGGGAAAATGAAAGGAAGGGAAGCAGAGAGGCAGGAAGTGATGGAAGGAAGAGGGAAATGGGGAAGAAAACTTGAGCTAGTGAGAAGCCCATTGATTCTATAAATAAACCACAGAAACAATGAAGCCTGGTTCTTCTGAAAAGGGTTCCCACTTTCCCCACTCCATCCTGGTCCAGCCGGCCTCAAGACAGGAGAACCAGGCAGCTGTCGGGGCTTCAGCCTGCAGTCCCAGCGGGCATGAGTCATAGGCTGTGCTACAAGCGGGCTCCTCTGAGGGAGCCCCGGAGGGCTGGCCGTGGGCGTTGGGACCATTCCTGCTGGCACTCAGGAATGTCCCTTCAGGAAGCTGGTTCACTCCAAGGTCATTCACTTTAGGATTTAATGAACAAGCCTCACAAAAATGAGTCCTGAAGCCCCAAACAATATGCCAGCCCACTTATTGTTCCTCTTGGGGCTTAGCACGTCCTTTAGGAAACTGCACAGAAGAGTGACCTTGTCGTGAAGGTTCCTGCCCATAAGAGATACAGTCCTTTCATGGCACAGATGCCTGTGGCAGGGCAGAGGAAAATGCTTGAACTTGAACAAAAGAGGCATCTCTTCCTGCTGTCAACAGCTGGCTCCTGGCAGAACTGGGAAGGTCCAGGGACATGAATCTGAATCCCTCATCCTCAGCCTACCGGGGCCAACAGCACCTTTGCCTGTCAGCACACATCAATCACAGCGCTCCAGCAGCTCATCCACAATGCAGTTGTCCCTAAGCAGTTCAGTCCCATGGCCTTTTCTTGGGATGACTCCAGGCTTTCCCTACACTTCTGTCATTACCACGCTGAACAAAACGGCTCCACTCCTGAAATTCATCCAGCTGCCGACTTGCGAGAGCACATGAGCAGCTATTGTTACAGTGGAGAGAGGAGGGCATGGGCTTTAGAGTCAGACAGCCAGGGCTCAAATTCCAGTTCTTCAGTTACTTGCTGGTGACCTTGAGAAAGTAACTTCACCTCTCTGAGACTCAACGTTCCCATGCTAGAAGTCATGATAACAATAGTAGGGTCGTTATGAGAATTGCATGTGTCATCTCTCTGAAAGCGGAGAAACATTCTTATTTATTGGTGTTTAACCCACAGAAAGCACTGAGTAAATATTTATTGAATACATGCAAAACGCTTCACACAGTGTTCAGCACATAGACAGCTGCAGTGAGTGGATAGTGTTATCTTCCTCCTCTTTATTTTCTGCCTCTCTCAATGCTTCCCATGGAGGAGCTTATTTTGACCCTTGTGTCAGTCAGGGTCCCAGCAGGAAACAGATGGTGTGTTCCAAATGGGGAGATCTTCATGAAGGATCCATCTGCAGGGGTGACTGAGGGAACCAACAGGGAGGGTTAAGCATTCCAGAAGTAGCCACAGCAGAAAGGTGCCAACTCTTCTCTCCCTGGAGGGCCAAGCAGGGAGCTGCTACCAGAGTCCTGAGTGAGAGAGCCATAGCTGAGAGGCCAGCTGCAGAGGATCCAAACCTTCAGGGAACAGCAGAGCAGGGAGGGAGAAGGGGGAATTAATACCCAGCCCTCCTCTCCTCCCGCTGTATGATCTCTTGCTGGTGCCTCCCAAAGGCCAAACCCAGTATCCATTGATGAGACCCTTGTAAAGCAGCTTCTACAGAGCAGCATGGAGAACAGTAGGCCGGATCTAGCCGTGTAAATGGAGAAAACCTGGGACAGCCATTAAAGTCTCCAAGGATTTATGTGAATTGTCATCTTTCCCCATCTACAACGGGTTCTTCAGCAGATTTACACTACAAAAGATAGTATCTCCTCATAAAAGGTGAAATCAACAGGAGACTTTAGTTCAAAGATGATGTGAACCAGAATCACCTTTATTTCTTCCTCATGGGGGAATCTAAACAACTAGAGCACAGCTGTTCCAGGGAGCTGGTTCCACAGCTATATCACCCCTTTGCTGCCCTTTCTCATGCTACAAATTTCTACATGTAAAATCTAGAAGTGGATACATTTCTGGTGCCTTGAAAAAAATAAAAGGTGAATCCAGGCATGAATAACTTATAGGTAATTTTTTTATGTTTGCAGTATGTGGGTATTTTAAAATTCATAACAATTAAAATCTACCGACATTTTCCCATCATCTTTGTATTGCATATTGCGTTTGTAACAAGAAATTCTAGGCTTGAAGAGCTAAATAAGTTCACTGCTAAAGCCCTGGCATATCCGTGGCAGGGGATAAACTGGATAGCAATTGGAAGCCAGGTCTGCAGAGCCGCCCTGGTCTTTGAAGGGTGGCATTCACTTTCCGAACACTGCACAGGTTGGATGGACATCCTGCTACCTGGCATTCAGCTCTACTACCCAACAGCTGCCAAGATGCCCAAGGCCGTCACTGGATATGAAACTCAGTGCTGGTATCTGAACACTAGCCCTCTAGACGGTCAGCTTCATCTGTTAAGTATATGCAAAAATGCAAAAAGCAAGATGATAGCCATGTTAAAATGAAAGCATACTCACAGTGAGGCATGGTTAGTTCGTGGACTCTGCTTCAGTTGAGTTACGTGGCCCTAAGAAAATAGCAGTATTTAAAAATGGACGGAGGCAATGAAGGTGATTATAAGGCTAGTCAAGAATTTTGCAGCATTTCTTTTGTTCTAGATGCTACACTAACAGACTCACATAGGTTAACCCAACCCCGTACACCCCAACCCCACCTCACAAATAAGCATATGTTGTAGATTTTCCTTCAGAGATGGGGAACACAAAGCCAAGTGATATTGGGTTACTTGCCTAAGATAACATAGCTGATGAGTGGAAGAGCTGGGCTTGAAAATCAGCAATCTAATTCCAGATTGTACTTTTAACCACCAGACGATTCTGCCTCTGATTATGTTCCTTAAATATTCAGAGAAAGAGAAAAAAATGGGAAGAACATGTATTTTTCAACTTAAAAGCAGCTTGCTTCAGAGAGTAAGATAATAAATAAATGTTTTTCTCTACTTTCTACTTTTTTGCTCTTTTCCTTATTTGATTTAGGAGTCAACATATTAATTTCATAGTAGAAATTATAATTTCATGTCAAAAACCTATTTGAGGAATCTGTATCTGTTATGAAAGTATGAGTCCCTGATAGCCTAGCTCTTTGCAGATAACAACTGCAAACCCTGTACAGAATAGAAGTCAAGACTAGGCCCACACATATGCAGTCAATTGATTGTCAATGAAGATGCCAAGGCAATTTAATGAAAAAAGAATAGCCTGTCCAACAATTGCTACCAAATCAACTACCTAGCCATAAAGGGAAAAAGGAATATTGATCCCTACCTCTCATCATATACAAAAAGTAATTTGAAATGGATCACAGACTTCCATGCAAAATATAAAATTATAAAACTTCTAAAAAAAAGATAAGGTAGAAAAGCTTTGTAAGCTTGGAGTAGAAAAGCTTTGTAATATTGGAGTAGGAAAACTTTTCTTAGGAAGAAAATAAAAATAATGGAGCATTTATTAGAAATGTTGTTTGCTCAATGCTGCTTCATCACAATTAAACACTTTTATTCTATGAAAACTACCATTAAGAAAACACACAGGCAAGCCACTGCCTAGGAGAAAATATCCAAAGGACTTGTAAGTAAAATGTGTACAGAACTCTTACAACTCAATAATTACTTACAATTATTAAATTAGATAACCTATTTTCTTTAATAGGCAATGAAAGTTGAATAGACACATCAAAAGAGTATCTAGAAAGTGCTAAAATCACATATAAAGATGTTTAACATCATTGGCCATCAGGGAAATGTAAGTGAAAACCACAGTAAAATGTCACTTCACATCCATCAGAAAGGTTTAAATTAAAAAGACTGATCATACTAAGTGTTGGCAATGATGCAGAGCAACTGAAACTCTCATATACTACTGGTGGAAATATCAAATGATGCAAATTTTTGGGAAAACAGCTTTGCAGATTGTAAAGCTAAACATAAACCTACCATGCAATGTTTGGAATGACTCAGCAATTGTACACCAAATACATGAAAACATATGTTTACATAAAAAATCATACATGAATGTTCATAGCCAGTTTACCTGTAACAGACAAAAACTGAAAACAACCTAAATATCCATCAACAGGTGATTAGATAAAGAAATTGTGACATATCTATACAATAGTACTCAGAAACAAAATGGAGCAAACTGTTGATACAACAATATGGATGAATCTCAAAATCATTATTCTGTGTAAAAGAAGACAAAACTCCCTCAAAATAGAATACATAATTTATTATTCCATTTATATATTTATATAACATCCAAAAAATTGCAAACTAGTATACAGTAGCAAAGAGTAGATCATTTGTTGCCTGGAAATGAAGGTGGAAGGAAAGATGGAGTAGGAAGAGGCACGAGGAATCTTTTCAGAAAAATGGAAATGTTAGTTAAATTGGTTATGGTGATGGTTTCATGAGCATATACATTTACCATAGCTCATCAAATTGAATGCTTTAAATATATGCAGTTTGATGTATATCTTCAAAGCTGTTTTTTAAAAAAATCTTTTCTGCTGAGATCCTCATCTTAGGAACTACACAGCAGCTGTAGCCTCAGCACTCAGCACCCTACTTTGCTCTTCCCCAGAAAGCAACCTTTGGGTTTACCTGGCCCTTCTGACTCACCGTTCTGAAAAGCCTCCTTTTCCTTCTTTGTCTTACAACCCTTCATCTTTCATTTGTATAGCCCTTTGATTTGTTTTCAAAGCTTTAGCTGCACTGTAGTCACATGCATGCATTTAACTTATAAGAATTCAAGTACACACACAAGGCAATAAAGAAAAGCAATTACTGCATTTACAGAAAGAGAAACAATGTACACAGTGTGGGTGGTTCCATCTGCCATTTCATTCCAAGAGTCTGAGAAGGGTGATGTGACTGCTTTTCCTCCAGCTGGTTCCATTGGTGCTATGTCTCTCATTCTAGGAGAATCTCATCATGTGAAGTAAAATTCTACTGGTTGTTTGTTTGTTTTGAGACAGGGTGTCACTCTGTTACCCAGGCTGTAGTTTAGTGGCACAATCGTATCTCACTGTAACCTCACACTCCTGGGCTCAAGCAATCCTCCCACCTGAGCCTTCCTAGTAGCTAGAACTACAGGTGCACACCACCAAACATGTCTTCTACTGTTTAAAACACACCTTTTTTGGTACAACACAGCCTGAAAATGCAAACCAAGTGGTTCATGTATTGCTCACTTTTTAGATTTTTTTCTTACCTTTGCTGGGCAATTGCATTTCATAATCACATCAACTTTTAACTAAGCTGTGTTGAATTTGTGTTGCTCTCAGCTATATTAAATCCTACTTTTCGATAAGCCATTTTATATATTGTTTGTTGCATGAATGATGACACAATGAACATAGGAACAAGAAAAGAAAGCAAAATGGGTTAAACTTAGGTTCAGTTGTATCTCCAGTTTAACCATGCTCCCATAAATGAAAATGCTAATAATCCCTTTTCAAATTTTAGGTTCAGGGGTACGTGTGCAGGTTTGCTATATAGGTAATTGTGTGTCAAAGGGGTGTTAGTGCACAGATTATTCCATTACCCAGGTCATAAACATAATACCCAACAGTTTTCCAGTGCTTCATTTTAGATTCAACTGAGGAAACAATGATCTACCCAGAAATAAAAAAATGTTGATTGTGTTGGACTTACTAGGGAAAAGAATATTTGTCTCCTACATGAAATTTTACTATTCTTGAGGATGATTTTATTATACTTGATTTTCATCATAGGTGATGATTTTAGAACCCCCATATAATACCAAATTTACTGTATCTTTTGGGGTTTTCAGAATAGCTCCATAAGGTGGCTAGAGAAAATATTATCCACACTGGACAGAGGAGGAAACAGGGCCTCAGGGAGATTGTGACTTGCTAGTTACACAGCTAATAAGGGACATCCTTCTTCGAAGAACCCAGGTCTTCAGACTGCACATCTAGTATTCCTTGAACCATATCACCACCTCCATATGTTGCCATTTTGCTTCTCAGACAAAGGCATTATTATGGCCTGGATTTGCCCTGAGTCCCAAGGAGAATTCTCACAGTGAAGATAACTTATTTTCACAATGGAAGCAGAAACTGCTGCTAATAACTCTTGGCTCTTTCTTCTCTTAACTAAAAAGGAAAATGTGTTAGACAAAACAGGGCAGTTTTGTGACTCTTACCCCCAATCGTAATTAAAATTTACTTTAATTGACAACCAAGCTGTCAGTGATCCAAGCTTTCAGAAGAATGGACACAAATAAGGCCAAATTATGATGATATATTCCACAAACTGAGAGGAACTCAACATCCCAGAGGGAGTCTCCAGTCAGCCCAGTGGCAAGGGAAAGGGTCTAGTACATATCTCAACCCACCATGAGCCAGTCACTCCCCAGGCATCTATATACATTTTGTCATCTTTACAACTGCAGCCTTTTAACAAGGGCTGGGAGATTTCAACTAAAACAGAGAGAATAAACTTTGTTGTAAGGATCCTAGCATATTTTTCATGGATAGATGGAGAATTTGAATAAAACATCCTGTAACTGTCTTTCTAAAAGTCTGAAAACAAACTGCCCCCAGTTGATTAACCAACATATTTGTTGCCACTAGAAATTGTTTTTCAAAGAGTAGTAATAATGATAGGGACTCTAGCGACTGCCCAAACGCCACGGACAGGGTCTCAGCACTAAATCAATTAAAACTTGACAGGTGTCACTGTCCCAGGTGTGACAGCTAGGACAGAAATCATTCCACATCTGACCCAGACAGGAGGCTAAGGGACTTGTCACCCCAGGCTGTTAGGAAGCATACACTTGATGGGAGAGGAAGCATGTCCCGACAGTTACACTTTCTATAGGGATGTGTTTCCTTAATGAGTTTCCCTCCTATAAGAAGACACACAAGTTCAGGATGACAAATTCACACATATAACCTTACAAATTTGGTAGCAATCTCCATTACCCTGGCTGAAGCTGGCGAGTTAACCTAAGCTGCTGTGTTTGGGGCAACGATGCTTGTGCTCACACGTTCTCTCACTAAACTCGGCTGCAGCATAGAGGAAGGCTCCAAGAATCAAGGAAGATCAGGGATCCTGAGCTGTCATAGGGCAGTAAGAAATGTGATGAGTGACTATTAAGAGAGATGCACAGCACAGAATGCTAATGTCTTTTGTTTGCTTGTGTATTTTAGAGTGAAAAGTGAAGCCCAGTCATGTTATAATCTGGGCAATTTAGGTTCTTTCCTACAAGCCCTCCTCCAATAGGCCCCAGCTGGAGGCTTGGTATGTGGATGTCGTTCAGTTGCATTGTTGTCTTTTTACATCAAAGGAATCATTCTGCCGATTACCCCGGTTTCCTCCCTTCTTGTCCAGTAGCAAACCAGGACCACAGCAGACAGGTTCCTAATGCTCTGCAGATGAAGGAATGTCAGGAAAATAAACAAATTTGCTCTCTTCTGCTGCATTCCTTTCCTTAAGGGAAGAAAGTAAAAGAAGATGACTTAGAATTAAACACAGAAATTTTCCAACAA